AGGAGGGGACAAAGATGAATGCTGCTACAGGTGAGTTGGGGGTTGGAAAACAAGTATGCTATCTGCTGGAGGTGGGGTGTGGGCAAAGGTCTTGAATATAGAGGGAAGCTCTGAAATAGCAATTAGGAAAAGAGATAAATCAGACACTAAAGTACCTAATTTAAAGTTTGAGATAAGAATTTTCTCTAGCAGTCCTCAGCAACCAGCAGGTAGGAGTAATAGCTGAATACAGCAGGTAGGAGTAATAACTAAATAATTCCAGGATGGAAGGTGGAGCCCCAGTGATGAGGAGGTCCTAGATGTAACCCTCACACTTAAATACAATACAATGACAGGCAAGTAACTGAGCTATATGTATCCTTTCTGACAAAACAATTACAGCTTTCATCACAATTTTTATGTGATGAAAAGTTAATTTGAGAGAAAAGACCTAATTACCTGGAATTAGTGTAATACAAAAACTCTTCTCAACTCCCAAAATGATGGGCAATATCGCTAAATGAAATGGTTAAGTTTAATGGTTTTATCAATGGATCATTTTTCATTATCAGTGAGACCTAGAAACAAATTAGTATAGCCTCTTCTTAAATGGCAATTTGATCATCTCTGTAAAATATAAAATGTGCATATTCTTGGGAAGCCAAGGTGGGTGGATCACGAGGTCAGGAGTTCGAGACTAGCCTGGCCAACATAGTGAAACCCTGTCTCTACTAAAAATACAAAAAATGAGCTGTGCATGGTGGTGGGCGCATATAATCCCAGCTACTCAGGAGGCTGAGGAAGGAGAATTGCTTGAACCCAGGAGGCAGAAGTTGCAGCGAGCCGATATTGCGTCACTGCACTCCAGCCCAGGTGACAGTGTGAGACTCCATCTCAAATAAATAAATAAGTAAGTAAGTAAGTGGATATTCTTTGGCCTGGTAATTCTGCTCTTAAAAATGAAATCACCTAACATGTGAAAAGGCATCTGTACAAGTATGTGTACTGCAGTATAGTCTGTAATAGCAAAAGCCTAGCAACAACCTGAATGTTTACCAATAGTAGTTGATGATATACCCATGATACTGTGCAGCCACAGGAAGAAAATTTAAATATTAATGTTCCACACATTTTAAAAAATGACTCAAAGATAAATTAAATGGCATAATGCTGTACTACCATATGCTCATTTGTTTGCCTGAAAGAATGTGTGCCTGTTAAATGTCTATGGCTCCCTGAAAATGCAAAGAATGTATCCGGAAGGATAAATCACAAAAGGATAGCAGTAGTTACTTCAAGAGATCTACTTGAGTAGAAACGAGACTCAATTTTCATTGTGTGCCACCTGAGCTTTTTCTATTTAAAAAATTTAGTAAGCTCAGTAAAATATCAAAATTAGCAAGATATTAATTCTTGTAGATGGGTGGACACTACAGTTTTCAAAGTGCTTTCACCGTTTTCTTATTTGTCACAACCTTGTAAAGTAGGTATCTTTATCCTTATTTACACAGACAAGAAAAGCCCAAGATACAGTGACCAGTCAAGTTCATAATGATGGCAAATGCTGAACTGGAGCTGGAAGTGATATTCTGATTGCTGGATACACATTCACTCTATGATTCCACACTACCTTTCTTGGAAACTAGGGAGTAACTGTTTGAAAACATGGCTAAAGGTTACCTAGAGAATCTAGAGGCTTTGATACTCTGTGTACCACAGGTTTATTTGTCAACAAGTCTGGTATTTCCCTGCTCCCCCATCTGCTTACTCTTCTACATGTTTTTTCTAATTAGCCTCCAATCAAATAGCCATCCAAATCAGAAAGCTGGGAGTCACCAGCTTTCTTTTACTCCTACACCTCACTGACCAAAAAATCCTATTGATCCAGGTTACCTGATGTTACTCAAATCTCTTTTCCACTA